ACAACAAAAAACCACACACTTCGCAGAGTTGTTTACAGGCCAGTCTGATGGAGCTAATTCTTTGATCACGGTGCCTTCTTCTTCCCAGGTATGTCAAGATGACAACCAAGATTAAATGTTATTATACAGAAACTAGGCAGCGGTGTATGCCTTTAATCCCGGTGCTTGGGAAGCAGAAGGAGATGGATCTCTGTGTGTTCAAAGCCAGCCTGGTTAGTTCCAGGACAGCCAGAGTTACAAAGAGAAACCCTGTCTTAAAAAAAAAGAAGAAGAAGAAGAAGAAAAAGACAGAAAGAAAGAGAGAGAGAGAGAGAGAGAGAGAGAGAAAGATGTGCTGGAGAGAGGGCTCAGTGGTTAAGAGCACTGACTGCTCTTCCAGAGGTCCTGAGTTCAATTCCCAGCAACCACATGGTGGCTCACAACCATCTGTAATGGGATCTGATGCCCTCTTCTGGTGTGTCTGAAGACAGCGACAGTGTACTCATATACATTAAATAAATAAATCTTTTTAAAAGGGGGAGGGGAGAAAAGTCAATGTAGAAACCTCTCCAGATCAGGGCCTAAGATACCCAGAATGTCGATTGTTCCTGGGGAGAGAAGGCTGCTTTTGCAATAGGTGTTCCTTGGGCATCACAAACCTCAAGAAATTTTCCTGTCATAGGCAGGAAGTCGTGAGAGGATCATTGTGTGTGATTCATTAGTTCCCAAAAGAGCCTTAGGAGGTGCTACTACAGAGGATAATGGCTGATAAATGCTACCATAGATACTGTAATTAAGAATATGCCGAGGTGTGAGACACTGTGAGCAGGTGAGGGGTGAAGCGAGCAGGTCAAGATGAGCCCCGTGCCTACATGGGCTTCGGCAGACTTCCAGAGGTGGCTGAGTGAATGGGTAGGGCAGCTTGTCGGCCCAGAACTATGTACCAGAGGCATGGGTGCTAATGTATGATGGTCCTTTGGCTTAAGGCTTCTGCCAGGAGCTGCCCACCAAGTACAAGTCCAGAAAGCAGCATTCATCTTCCTCCAGAAAGTAGCCTTCTGCACTTGGTCTGGTCTGAGGAGTGTGTCCACTAAATGCCATCTACAGAAAGCTCCCAGATTCCTTGATCTTTCTGAGAGGGCCTTCAGTCCTTTGGCCCTGAGCTGGGATGGCAGGTGGGTGTGTTCACTGTGGACAAGTGGTATGAGAGCTCACATCTACTGCCCTTCCCGTCCTGCCTTGGTCTTTCTGTTGCCAACCAGTGTAAGGTTCTATTGTAGTTTTGTGGATTCTGAGTGGGCTTAGGAGCCTGAAAGAAAGTGGCCATTTCCAAAGAAAATCGCAGAAAGAGGCCTGAAGCTTAGTGGGTCTCCTTTCTTGGACAATCAAGGTGGCAGGCACAGAATGGGCGGCTAGGGAAGAAGGCCCTTGGAGTGTGTATCTCCAGCATTTCCCAGCTCCTAACAGATCTCCCCTGACCTGCAGCCATAGCCCAGTCCCTGCCCGCTGCAAAGACCGTTCCTGTTCCCTGACGTTCCCTGAATGTTTCTCCAGGCTTGCTCTCCCTGGCTCTCCCTTGACCTCCCCAGCCTCACTGCACCTCCCAGGCTGCCTTTTCCCTCAGGCTGTTGGGAGCATGATTTGGCTGCCCAGGGAAGATGGTATCTTCCACATCAGGGAGGGCTGAGGGCACTGCTGGGTGAGCTCGGGCCTCCTGAAGTTCTTGTTGTGCACTGTGCCTGAGCAGCTGAGTCACTCAGTAGCTGCAAAAGAAGGAGCCCAGAGTGGCAGGGAGCCTGCCTCCCTCCGACGGCAGTAGCCATCCTCCCTTGCCCCACAGATACACCGTCACCTCTCTTTCTACAGATGGGACCCAGGTAAGCCTGGGCGCCTGCTGCCCCAGTCTCCCTGGCACAGGTAAAAGTCAGGCTTGCGAGGGACTGGTTTGGGGGGTGTGTGAAGATGAGGGATGGACACAGTCTGGGAAAGGTGAGCCTGAGGGTTTGAGGAAGTGGGGATTTAGCTGGGCTAGAGACTTGGAAGATGGGGGTTCCAGGGAAGAGACAAAGTTGGGTCTCCAGAAGGGTAAAAACAGGAGAGGCATCTTTGGGTCTAGGCTAAGAAGCACAACAGGAAAGGGAAAGCCAGACGCCATGCCTGTCCTTGTAAAGTATAGTAAAATGGAAAGTAGGAATCTAATGTTTGTGCTCAGACACCCCCCCAGTCAGACCCCCACCCCAGTCAGACCCCAACTTCCAGACAGAACCCAGTCAGGCAGTGGGTGAGCATATTCCTGTTTTCAAGTCATTCATAAGGGCCCTGCAGGGAGGAAAGATGTCTCTTACCGGTGAGCCGACTTTCTCCCAGGTCCTCCCTGCTGGCCTGGGCCTTCTCTCCCACCACTCACTCTTCCCGGGAGACAGGACTGCAGTGGACTAAACTTCCTACTGCCACCCAGATTTAGAATGCACCCATGGAGCTAGGTTTAGAATGGAGGTCGGAGGCGTCCCTTTTCTTTAACTCCCTGTGGATGATACCCACTAAGGATCTACTGAGCACGCAGTGACTGATTCCACATAGCAGAGAGAACTGGAAGGCCAGAGGATCCTTGCCTTGAGTCAGCTGTCCCAAAGCTTGGGAGGACAGGACACACAGAAGAAGGGGCAAGGGTGGTGGGGTGGTGGGGTGGTGGGGGATGGTAGCGACACATGGCCTCTGTTAAATGAGAGAAACCTGAGTTGATCCTACTGCTTGCTCCCTGTGAAGCTCCGTCCTAGGCCACTGAGGAGAAGTAGCGAGATTTTCCCCTTGGTTCTGTTTCCCGTCTGCCTTAAGCCAGGGTGTATTCTAAGTCCTGGGAGTGACGAGCAATGGCAAACCCGAGGCCAGCCTTTGGAGCTTATACCAGGCCTGGTGCTGCCGTTGGACTCTTACGATGCCGTGAGCAGCCAACGTGGAATCCAGGAGGAAGGGGTGTTGCACACTGGCCTGCGTCCAGCTGGGCTCTGAGCAGCAGATGGGGTTTGAAAAGCAGAATACAGGAGTGCACACAGCACTGGCAGGAGACACTGTGAGCCAAAGGCCAGGGGGATAAAAAGGTGCTGCCTTTGTTATCGGATAAAAGGCACTGCCCGAGTTGGTGGCTTTGTTCAGGCAGAGCGGACCAAGTTGAGAGCGGTGTTCACGGGGGAAATGCCTAAAGGAAGCTTCTCCAGAGAACTTTTCCATTCCTGTAACTTCCCACGGGGGGCTACCCTATGGAGCCCCCTAAATGTTAGATCTCCCAGAAAGTCCTCTGTTCCCAGCATCCCTTAGCTCTGGCGGTCGTCATGCCGAATGTAGGATGGTGGCGGCTGGTAGGTGGCTGCTCCTGTCTTGGTGAGACTGAAACCACAGGCCTCAGGTATAGGAAAACCACTTTGAGTTCTCCTAAGCCCTGTGTCATCAAGGGAGTGACCTCAGGAAGCCAGTACATCAGAACTGGGGAAGGCTAAGGCCTCTCGTGGGCCTAGAATATGTTACCAGTGGAGGCCCCTACTCAACTACAGAGATTTCTTGGGTAGCTACATGAACAGGGCTGAGGACAGCAAATCCAGGCATTGTTTAGTGTGGGTGGCTTCTGGATGTACAGTCGCCCTCTCAGAGTGCTTAGTAACTGGAGGGCCACAGAAGGCCTCACTGGACACTTCTCTCATATGACACCCCTTCATGACAACGTCCCACAAGCTCTTTCTGAGTAGGAGCTCCTTCCAAAGGAAGTGATTTCCTGAGCGTTGGTGGGGAAGTGGAGCATTGGTCTGAACAGGTCTGGACACCGTCCTCTCTCTGCCCCTTGCTGGGCGGCTCCAGGCCCTCATCCTGGGACCTCACTTGCCTTGTCTGGGATAGCAGATACAATCATTAGTATCCAAGGCAGGTAGACTAGGAACTGAGTGGGATTTTGTTGCACGCACACACTGCAACTGTTAAGGTTATGACTTGTATGGTTGCGTCAGGCTGCAGGCTCCATTTCTGGACTTTCTCATTGGTGGTTTGCTGGGGATCTTACCATTCCATCTCGCGCCAGACCCCCGTGAATAGCTGTGGTGCTCTGTGAGGGGAATGCCTGAAGAAGGCCTCTGTGGGGAGTTTCCCCCTCTCTTGTATTCTCATCCTTTCCCTTCACCCCCTACCCTGAAGCAGCCCCACCTCTCAGCATCTCAGCATCCCTGGCTGCTCAGCCTGGCCAGCTGGCTATGCTGGCACAGCCCCTGGTCTGCTGGTGAGCTATAAATAGCTCCTGCACCCACGGCCTTGGCAAGGTGCTCCTGGCGTGGGTGCACAGGACACTGGAGAAGAGGCAGCTGAGCCTGTTGTCCTTGCCAGACCAGGCCCACAGCTGGCTGGAGTAGACAGCAGGAGCCTGTACCACAAGCTCATGGGTCTGGTGAGCTGAGGAGGCTCCCTGAGAAGAGGGTTCAGTAGGCCCTAGGTGGCGAGCCAGGGCTAAGTGTGAGCTCTGGGTCCTATGTCTGGATCCCAGGACCAGAATGATCCAGAGAATCGGAACGGGAGAGTGATAGCTGAGGGTGTGTGGGGCCCATGAACTAGGGGGCTGAGCAGAGTGGGCCTGTTTACCTGTCCGATCGCTCCCGCCCTAAGCCAGGCTGACCACATTCCTAAAAGGACAAAGGCAAGGCGGGTATAGAGCCTAGTAGTGCGTCACCATCTCATTAAATCTTGTAACCTTAGCCCCAAGCCAGTGGACAAGCATTCTGGAGGAAGACACCATGCTTCCAGTCAGATGGTTCGGTTCTAGCCATCAGCAAGCAGAAGGGAGCGTGGCTGGTAGCCTGTAGACCTCCTTCCTCACAGGTAGAACGGAATCCAATTCCTACCTGTAGCTCACCAACTGGCCTAAGTGAGGAAGAGGCTCCCTGAGGGTATTTTGACTGATGTTGAATCAACCCCAGAGGATTCAGTAGCCTGTGACCAAGTTCCTGCAGACTAGCCTTCCACCTGACTCTGTTGTGTGTCCCTAGGGTGCCCTGCCCTCCGGCCAGACACACCAGGCTCTCAGCCCCAGCCCATGGATCTGCGAGTGGGCCGCTCAGTGGAGCCCCCGCCAGAGCCTGCGCTGCTGACCCTGCAGCACCCCCAGCGCCTGCACCGCCATCTCTTCCTGGCAGGCTTGCAACAGCAACAGCGCTCAGCTGAGCCCATGAGGGTAAAGACAGAACTCCGTCCACACGCCCCCGGCCACCCTAGACTTCAGCCCTGTCCTTTACCCCTGTCCCCCCTGAGCCATCAGCTCTGTTCACAGCTCTCAATGGACCCACCAGTGCCGGAGCTGCAGGGGGGACGGCAGGAGCAAGAACTCCGACAGCTCCTCAATAAAGACAAGAGCAAGCGAAGTAAGGGTCGGGCTCATCTCGCCTTCTCTCAGCCTGGGTGTCTAGGAGGGGTGAGTGGGAAGGGCACCGTTTATTTGGACGCCCTCTGTTGGCTCTGCCTCTGAGCAGAGACAGGTGTGGGAGTGTCTAGAGGCTTCACAGGAAGGGCTTAGCTAGCTCTCTTGCCTGAGGAGTCCCTGAGACATCATGTACTGAAAATGGGGCCTTGGTAGTTTTCAGAGAATGTACCCAAGGGGCTTCCTATCCACCTGTTGCCAGCCTTCCCATTTCTCTGCCTCTACAGGTGCCGTAGCCAGCAGTGTGGTCAAGCAGAAGCTGGCTGAAGTGATCTTGAAGAAACAGCAGGCAGCCCTTGAGAGAACAGTCCATCCCAGCAGCCCCAGTATCCCCTACAGGTAGCTCGTGCTGGCTCTCAGGTCCTTTCTGTGATCCCTGTTCTCTACATACTCACCTGCGAGTGTGCACCTGTGGGTGTGCACCTGTGAGTGTGCACCTGTGGGAATGCACCTGTGGGTGTGCACCTGTGGGAATGCACCTGTGGGTGTGCATATGGCCCTCTTCTCCCCCATATCCATCACCTGTTTCTTACTCTGCGCCTAAACATAATCCCCCATTCCCTTCAACCCCTACCTGCCCTCCTCTCCCCTTCAGTTTTCTCCCTACATCTTACCTGAGGCCCTTCACACGCACAGAATTCTGGTTCCTAGAAAGGCACAGGAGACGCTGAGTCTCCAGGGAGCCCTAAGCTCCAAGGCTTGGGATTTATACCTGAAGCAGAACATCTGCAGTAGCATGGGTGACCCACTACTGCCACCTGGAGATGGATGACTCCTGTCGCTTGCTCCACACTGCTCAGCTCTGTTGGTGGCTGCCTTCCTGGCAGGCAAGCTCAGGAAAGCATCTGTGCAGAGTGAGATTGCGGGGGCCTTGGGGCATCCTGGCCTTCTGAAGTAGCCTTGACACTCACCCCGCAGAACTCTTGAGCCTTTGGACACAGAGGGTGCTGCCCGCTCCGTGCTTAGTAGCTTCCTGCCTCCTGTTCCCAGCCTGCCTACTGAACCCCCGGAACACTTTCCCCTGCGGAAAACAGGTGAGCTGGGCAGACAGAGGCCTTTGAGGGGCTCAGATTAAATAAAGGGCCTCAGATTTAGGTCAGGAGTATGGGGTTGAGGTGGGTTGGGACAGCACACTGCTTATCACACACACACACACACACACACACACACACACACACACACACACCCTGACTTTGCCTTTAATCTCTTTAACCCATAGAGGAGGGAAGTTAAATGGCACGAAAGAGGCCTAGTATGATAGTGCAGCACTCAGTAGGCAGAGGCAAGTGGATCTCTGTGAGTTAGAGGCCATTCTGGTCTTGTAGACCCTGTCTCAAAAAAAAAAAAAAAAAAAAAAGGAAGAGAGAGAGAGAGAGAGAGAGAGAGAGAGAGAGAGAGAGAGAAGAAAAAGGTAGAGAAGAGAAGGGTGGCTGGCCTATCGACAACGGAGTGACACTAGTCCCTTTCCAGTGTCTGAGCCCAACCTGAAGCTGCGCTACAAACCCAAGAAATCCCTGGAGAGGCGCAAGAATCCCCTGCTCAGGAAGGAGAGTGCCCCGCCCAGCCTTCGGAGGAGGCCTGCTGAGACTCTTGGAGGTAAGAGCCGATTGAGGGGCCCCAGAGTGGCCATCCAAGGTGTGGTCCCTTTGGGCCACGTGGTTCCTCCCACGTGGGACTGCTGACTTTGCATCTCACACACCTGCCTGCGGGAGGGCGAGCGAGGCTAATACCTAACCCTGGTTTGACATTTGCTGGGGAAATGAGAACTGCTCAGAGGTGCCGTGGGCCACAGTGGTGGTCAGGCAGCTTTCTCATCCTCCAGGAAAAGCAGAAATACATCCAGAATGGAAGGCGCTGTGACTGGGAGTCCTGCCCAGGGTTGTCCATTCCTGACCTCTGACCGTGCCTCCCTTTTTCCTCTGCCCTCAGATTCCTCCCCCAGTAGTAGCAGCACACCCGCGTCAGGGTGCAGCTCCCCCAATGACAGCGAGCATGGCCCTAACCCTGCCCTGGGCTCAGAGGTAAGGCCTTGAGGGGAACTGGGCTCTCCTGGGGGCAGTTCTGAGCGTCAGCCTTTTTCCAGCAAGTGGCCTGGCCTGACCTGAGGCTTCAGGGTCCGGGCAGTCCCTAGCAGGGCCTCTTGGGTGTTCTGGGGACGGCATACCAGGGGTAGAGTTCCAGGACTGGTGACCAGTCACCCTGCTCCCCATGGCAGGCGCTCTTGGGCCAGCGGCTGCGGCTGCAGGAGACTTCTCTGGCCCCGTTCGCTTTGCCGACAGTGTCCTTGCTGCCCGCAATCACACTGGGGCTGCCTGCCCCTGCCAGGGTGAGTGGCTGGGGCAGCCTGCCCCCACTCCATGCTTCTCCGGCCTCTTTCCTGCCTGTGTCCTGTTACCTCACCTTCATCTTCCTCTCCCAGAATCCTCTCCAACCCTGACTTTACCTTTCTTTCAGGCTGATGGTGACCGCAGGACCCATTCAACTTTGGGCCCTCGGGGTCCTGTCCTGGGGAACCCCCATGCTCCCCTCTTCCTGCACCACGGTCTGGAGCCGGAGGCTGGGGGCACCTTACCCTCTCGCCTGCAGCCCATTCTCCTGCTGGATCCTTCAGTCTCTCATGCCCCACTGTGGACTGGTGAGGCTTGCTGCTTCTCCCAGAATGGGCAGGATTTGTGCACCCTGACAAGGGCTAACCTCTGGGAAAACCCCACCTTCCAATCCCTCACTGTACCTTCTTGCCAAGTCTTCCCTCCACTCGATGCTCCTGTCTCCTTCCGTGGCTCCCAGGGTTCCTTCCTTACATCCATTTCATTCTTTCCAGTGCCTGGGCTCGGACCCTTGCCCTTCCACTTTGCCCAGCCCTTACTGACCACCGAGCGGCTCTCTGGGTCAGGCCTCCATCGGCCCCTTAACCGGACCCGCTCAGAGCCCCTGCCCCCCAGCGCCACTGCCTCCCCTCTGCTGGGCCCGCTGCAACCCCGCCAGGATCGGCTCAAACCTCATGTCCAGCTGATCAAGGTGAGGGTAACCAGGTAGAGGAGGTTCAAGGGCGAGCCCTTGTGGACTGAAAGAAGGATACTTAGGCGGAAGAAAGGCCTGGAAGGCTAGGGAAGTGGCTGCCGGAGACTTTGCACGACGAATGTAGCCTTGTCCAACCCACAACCCGCCACCCACCCTCCTCTCTATCCTACTTCTCAGCCAGCCATCTCCCCTCCCCAGAGGCCCGCCAAGCCCAGTGAGAAGCCCCGGCTGCGGCAGATACCCTCGGCTGAGGACCTAGAGACAGATGGTGGGGGAGTGGGACCTTTGGCGAATGATGGCCTGGAACCCAGGGAATCAGTCCGTGGGCCTCCTGAGGGCAGAGGCCCCGTTTCTCTGCAGCAGCACCAACAGGTATGGCTGTGCCTAAGGACCCTGAAGAAAGTTCAGTCAGAAGGCTTGGGGCTAGGAGTAGGATGGGGAAGGGGAGAGGAAGTCAAGACCCATGCCAAGGTGCTGATGCGCACGCGCATGCGTGCGTGGATGTGCATGCAAATATTTCAGCCAACTGCTTTCTCAAGTAGACCGTGTACCTGATTCTTGGCCTTTCACAGAGCCACACATACTCCATCTTCACACTTGTCTCTGCAACTGGCTCTCTTGTATCCAAAGGTAGCTGGGCTAGACGTGGGAGAGCAGCTGTCCCTGGCTTTAGATAAATAGCATGGGGGAGCAAGGCAATGTTCATATGCCAGGACCACTGCAGCGGGAACTATACACAAGATGCCTTGAAAGGCAGATATTGGTCGCCTTGAAGCTCTGTAGGCTGAAAGGGTGAAATTGAGGTGTGTGTTGAGTGGGGGAGGGGATGTGTTCTGGGGGCTAAGGAAGAAACATCTGCTTAGAGCCTCTGCTCTAAAGTCCCTTTTACAAAGACAGCAAACCTTTTCCTAATCATGTCAGTGTGACTTGATTCCTCCCCTCTCCCCCCCCCCCCAAAGACCCTATCTCCAAAGCCAGAGGCCTAGGACTCTATGAATTGGGAAACGGGATTCCGCCAGCAGTAGCCCTTGGTGGTGACCGTCTGCATGCATTTAGCGTCTCAGGCAGTCGCTTGTGGTTAGTAGCATAGCCCTCCTATGAGTGGTGACCTTGGCCAGTAGGCTCGGAGACCAAGGAGTTCTTGTGAAATCAGAACATCAACCTGGGTATGGGGCTTCAGGGAGGTCAAAGACTTGAATGGCCAGAACTCATACCTGGAATTTCTCTAGAAAAAAGGGTCTATCTGGAGGGTCTATACCTTGGGTAAAAGCAGGTGACCAAGTCTGAGAAACTCTGGACCCCGTGGCCATGTTTCCCTCAGGTTCCACTCTGGGAGCAGCAGCATCTAGCCGGGCGGCTCTCTCAGGGAAGCCCTGGGGACTCTGTGCTGATACCTCTGGCCCAGGTTGGACACCGGCCCCTGTCCAGAACCCAGTCTTCCCCAGCGGCACCTATCTCCCTGCTGAGCCCAGAGCCCACCTGTCAGACCCAAGTCCTCAACAGCTCAGAGACACCTGCCACAGGTAAGACCAGAGAGGGACTGGGAGGGAGGCAGAGGGAGATGACCCGGGCATGAGTCCATGTCTATGAACTGCCTTTCAGGACAGTTCCAGAGGTCACAGAGCACTCCTTTCTTCTTGTTTGAGCTCCACGGTGCCCTTAATGCCTGCAGATTCATCAGGACTTAGGAAACCCAAGTTGACAGTGACTAGCTTTTGGATAAAGGACAAAGTGGACAGTCGGGGCCAGGACAGGAATTTAAGTCTCCTACTGCGACCGGCCCTTTTAAAACAAGAGCAAACTCAGAAACAAAAGCCAAGAACATTGCTTACTACTGCTGTGCTCATAAAAAGAGCTCAGAAGTATTTCAAACATTGGGAAAATACAGGAAAATATAAGAATACGAAAATCACCAAGTGTCTTATTGCCCTAGACTCTGCTCTACTTCATTCTGGGTTTTAGGTAGCCATCGTGCCTGCCTAACGTCATGAGCATGAAGCTATATTTTGCACCCTGCTTTCTTGATTTTTTAAAATTGATTTAATTTTTTTTAAATAGTGCTAGAAACTGGACTTAGAATCCTGTGTATGCCAGGCAGCTGTTTTATCTCTAGGCTGCTACTACCAGCTCTGTACTCTGGATTATCAACCAGCATGTTATTACAAAAAAAAAAAATCCTTAAAACTGAGATTCTCATATTTTTTATTTTATTATTATTTTTTTAGTTTAGCTTTTTTAGACAGGATGTCCTCCCAGCTAGCTTTGAACTTTTAGCTGTTTTTCTCTTAGATTCCCAAGTGCTAGGATTACAGGTATAAATCACCATGCACAGCTCAGTGTTAACTTTAATTCTTACTAGTTGGGCATTTAAAGATTTTTAGTTTTAGTTTAATTTCTTTCTCTTGTTTTTGTTTGTTGTTGTTGTTGGGTTTTTGGGTTTTGTTTTGGTTTAACAAGACAGGCCTTTTCTAGGTAGTCCTGGCTGTCCTGGAACTCCCTCTGTAGACCAGGCTTGGCTTCATACTCAAGAGTTCTTTCGAGTTCTTTCTGCCTGCCTCTGCCTCCGGAGTACTAGGATCCAAGGCGTGACACACCAGGCTTTAGTTTAAATTTTCTTCATTTGTTTTTGAGATAGACTCTCATTATGAAGTCCTGACTAGCCTGAAACTCACAGGCCTGTGATCCACCAGCCTCTGCCTCACAAGTACTGGGATCAAAGGTGTGCACCACCACACTTGGTCTTTAAGTCTTTAAGTCTGGGATTACCTCTCCAGGGTCACTCTTAAGGAGTAGCATTCCTGGGTCAAACAGTGTGAGCATATTGAAAGCTGAGATGAGATTCATAGACACGGACCCTTCCAGCAGCAATGTCTGTGTATAAGGTCGGCTTCTGGAGACTTCCCTTGGGACAGACTGAAATACAGTTCCTGAGTACCCCAAAGGGTTGATTCTGGGACCATCTTGTAAACCTACCAAAACCACAGATGCTCATGTTCTTCCTGCAAAACAGCACAGTGCCTGCTTTAACGGATGCATGTCTTTCCACGTTATTTAAATCGCGTCTGTTTTGCTTTTAATACCTAATACGATGCTGATTCTATGGAAATAGCTTTCGTGCTATTTGCGTTGAGCTTACAAGGTGAAATAGTTTTCTGGCTGTTTTCCATGTGCAGTTAGGGGACTGACCGAGAGGCCACTGACTGTGAGATTCCCTCTTCAGTCTTTAGGTTTCCCTGGCATTGTTTTTCCTGTGTTGGAAGCCCCTGGCTTTGTGAGATCCAGAGGAAGATGTGTAGTAATGAATATTTTAAAATCCCAGCTCGGGGGTTTCTTCCCACCTTTGACCATTTATGTTCCCAGATGAAAGACACACATACAGCCACCATATTTGAATATGTCTTAGTCAGCACAATAGCTGGGCAACTGCCTACCCTCCGTGTTGTCAGAATCCATTTTCTACAGATAACTCTGAGTTACTACTTAACTAGTTTCTATGTTCCCTCTTGGCTGCTCTTAACTCAATTGGGTAGCCCTCTGGGACGCGTTCTCTTGGCCCTTAGCCCATGGCGGCTCTCCATCTCCCTCCTGCACGTTCTTCTTCCGTGGTGGCTCCTTTCTCCCTCTTGCCTAGTGATCTTGCTCCAAGCCCATGAAAACTCAACCCACCTATGTCTCTTCTCCCCAGCTATTGGCTGCTGACATCTTTATTTACCAATCAGGGTTAAGCCGGGTGGGGGGTGGGGGTGGGCGGAGAAGGGTCCCTCAGTGTCTTACATGTGGACTGTCTTTGTGGCAAACAGTCTTGGAGGACACAAAGTAGCATTAGAACACAAGCGGCATTAAGCCAACCTACTACAGAGATGTCCTGTGTTAAGTCGCTCTGGGTTTAGGGCATGAACTCTCAAAGGCATAGGAGGTGCGTTGGGCCTTGTGAGGAGTAAGAATACCCAGAAGGCCAAGCACAGCAGTGCCGCGGGCACTGCCCTGGTGTGGATTTCAGGTTATCAGAAGCATTTAGGCCTGTGCATAGGGAAACCTAGCTCTTCACAGAAGGGTTGGAAAGGGGATGCAGACGTGCGCATGCGTGGAAAGGGCAGCAGAGGATGCACGCTTGCCTGGCTCCCTGGCTGTGGGCTGGTCTCCATCAGTAGCCACGGTGGAGGTCTCCCTGGCATTCTAGCCCTGGCGTTTGCTTCTTGCAGGGCTGGTTTATGACTCGGTAATGCTGAAACACCAATGTTCCTGTGGAGACAACAGCAAGCATCCCGAGCACGCCGGCCGCATCCAGAGCATCTGGTCCCGGCTGCAGGAACGGGGTCTCCGCAGCCAATGTGAGGTGAGGAGTTGGGGCTACGCAAAAGAAGGGGTGGGAGGCCTTAGGGCCAGCGATGGGAGAGTGGGTGGTCAGGGGTGGGAGAGGGGACGGGGGCACAGGCATGGGTGAGCAAGGCTTAGGAACTCTGTGGGCCCTTCCTCAGTGTCTCCGAGGCCGAAAGGCTTCCCTAGAGGAGCTGCAGTCAGTCCACTCTGAAAGGCACGTGCTCCTCTACGGCACCAACCCACTCAGCCGCCTCAAACTGGATAACGGGAAGCTTACAGGTAGGGGAGGGAGACAGATGATATCTGGCGCCAGTCACCCCAAGCTCGCCCATCTTCACCCACTTCTGTGCTCTTGCCCCAGCGGAACCCCTCCAACCTCCTGGATATTCCCATGCCAATTTGCTGCCCTAGTGTTGTATTCCCCCACCTCCCGCCATCCGTCCATCCGTAGTCCTCCCCGCCCCCGCTGTCCACCTCCATATCTACCTGGGCCTTTCCCCAACAGGACTCTTGGCACAGCGGACGTTTGTGATGCTGCCCTGTGGCGGGGTTGGGGTAAGTATGTGTAGAGCTCTCAAGTGGGCATTGCCAAGGGCTTTCAGCCTTCGTTCGGTTCTCTCGGCCCACTCCCACCTCTCTGCCACCTGTGACTTGTGGTTCTGCCAGACTGGGTAAGGCAGGGCCTTCCCCATTAGACTCTTCTAGCTGGAAGCTCCTTGTGGTAGGTGTGTCCCAGTCCCATGAATGACCCATGAGTTCAGAGCCCAGTGCCTCACAGTTAGAAGGTATTTGTTAGTATTCAGTGAGGCTCAAGGTAGGGTCACACTGGGACTGGAGACCCCCCCTTTGTTAGACCTCAGTGGTCACGCATTGGCCATTCCACACTGGCTCCCAAAAGTTGGCAGCTCTGCCTGCCCAGGGGTGGGCCTCTCTCAGGAATTCTAGGTGTGGCCTACTTGACCTCCAGACCTTGTGTGGCACTGTGGGGTACCTCCCATGGACTTAGAGGTTTAGGACTGTCCAGGACAGAGCTTTCCAGCCCTCCAGCTTTGCTTGCCTGCTCCTCACCTGCTGGAGGTCTTCCCACTGCCTCTAACTTGGCCCCCCTGTCATGGTGCCAGGCAAGGCGTGTGACAATGAGGTGGAGGCTGAGTCCAGGAGGGCAAGTGGGAGCTATCAAGGGGGCTGTTGGGGAGCCAGCCAGTGCCCTGTTCACAACTCCCCATTTCTTGCCACTTTCTGGTTTTTCCAACTGTTGTTGCTTCTTTTTTCTCCTCCCTCCTCTCCCTTCCTGTCCTCTCTCTCTCTCTCTCTCTCCAGCCTCTTGCGACTCTTTCTGCCTTCCTCGCCTCTCTCGGTCCGCCTCGCCCTTCCCACCTCCCCATCATGCCCCCCGGCCCCTCCCTAGCCTTGAGGCCCAGGGACTGGGTTTGGGGGGCCTCCCAGCCTGGGCTAGGGGCCCTGAGTGGAAGACAGTGGTGCAGACGGCCCCTCCAGCTCCGACCGTCCCGCAGGGCCTGAGCAGAGTCAGCTGGGGCTTACAAACCCCTCCCGGCCCAAACCCCAATCCCGCCCAGGTAACGCCATGCCCCCTCCCCTGACTGGGGAGGCAGAGTGCTGGCCACACACGAGCTGGTGCTGGGGCTTAAGTCCTCCTGGGACTGGGAGACACAGGAGGCCTTGCCTTTGGGCGGTGGGGCACTGGGGAGGCAGCTTTGTCTGCCCAGCTCCCTGCCCCTGGGGTCCTGGCCACGGGGTGGGTACCTCCTCACTGGGCCCTGGCTCCTATGGAAAGCACAGGATGATGCAGTCTTGACCCTGGCCCCCACAGGTAGATACTGACACCATCTGGAATGAGCTGCATTCCTCTAATGCAGCCCGCTGGGCTGCAGGCAGCGTCACCGACCTTGCCTTCAAAGTAGCTTCCGGAGAGCTAAAGGTAGGAGCTTTAGATTAAAGACTGGTAAGCTAATGAGTTGGCGCCTGAGTGGTGGAAGTGAGTCCAGATCCCAAGCTCTAGACATTCCTTGTGGATATTGCCACAAGGTTTTGAAAAGGAAATCGGGGCTGGAACCAGGGTGAGGCTTGACCCCCAAGTTCATGTCACTTACATAATCAAGCGGCTGGGCATTAGGGTATTGGACAGTCTGGCCATCCGAGATCCTTTAAGACCTGTTTTGTGGCTGTAGGCGCATGGTGGCCATTTTTGAATACTACAGCCCGTTTAGGGATGGGATCTTGCCTGTTAAGTTGGGGGCTGCGCTCCTTGTTCTAGGATAGTTTCCTTGCTATGATTCACCTGAAGCACACAGTCCTATTGTCTGGGAGCTCACAGCCCAAGGCTTGCACTGTACCCTCGGTATCAAAAGCGCTTGGCAGCGCTTGGCAGTTGTCCTGATTTGAAAAAAACAAACCCGGCTCTACCGTGTGCAGCTACGTGACCTGGGTTGTTTACTTCACCGAGCTTTGCTTTCTCGTCTGTCAGTTGGGGATGATGATGATGATGATGGTGATGTTTTGTGCTCTAGGGATGCTGTGAAAAGCAAATGCAGTATCTATGAAGTACTCAGCACAGGAGCGGGCACATGGTTTTAACACAGTAGTCAATAGGTGTCACGTGATTACAGCCCGGACCTACCAGGGACGGGTACTGTGTTCAAGCGCAGCCTATAACCCACAGTTAACAGCGTGGAGGGAGAGGTCTGCACATCTCAGTGGGACACGCTGCCTTTTAACCCTTGGAGAAAGTGGCCGGGATAAGAAGCAGGCTCAGGCAAATGTGGACCGAGAGCCGCTACTGAACTGATAAATGCCTCTCCCCTTTCAGAATGGCTTCGCTGTGGTGCGACCCCCAGGACATCACGCAGATCATTCTACAGCCATGTAAGTAAGGCGTTAGGGAGGTGGACCTATGTGGCGTGAGGTGGGAGCAGGCCTCTGAAGCCCTCCCGTAGGCGGAGAAGTATGAGGACGGGCTGGCAGGACCCTCTCTCCTCCCTCCAGGGGCTTTTGCTTCTTCAACTCCGTGGCCATCGCCTGCCGACAGCTACAGCAACATGGCAAAGCCAGCAAGATCCTGATTGTGGACTGGGTAAGTCCTGGTTGCTGGTGTCTTCAGAGCCGGGCCTGCCTGCAGAACCCCGAGCGTGCGTAGTGTACGCTTCTGTGGGGGGTGGGAGTTCATTTACTGTCTTCTGTTGGCTTCTTTCCGGCAGAGCAAGCCACTTGCCCTCCACATAGTAGCCATAACAGTAACATCTAAGACCAGTGATCATCAGTCTCACCCAGACACTGACAGTAGCCCATTTATAGTCCTGGCTATAGCCCATTTCACAGATGAGGAAAGCACCTACAGCGATTACTACCGTGACTAGTCACTCCCCTCATGAGACAGGAGACCAAGATTGGAACTCTGGAGTGTATGCCTCTAACTACCAAGCTGGGTGTCATCTTCGGGGACAGATGTGAGAGGGACATTTCTAAGTAGATACTGAGAACACTGGGGGGAGTTTAACACATCTGAACCTATGTGTGGTCTTGTGAGTCGAGCGCAGAGGGCACCCAGTACTTCCTAGAAGACTGGGTCTGGGTCCCTTTAACCTTGATCACTGACCATGTACACAGCCTCACGACTGTGCAAGACAGTGAGAATATGTCCACAAGAGATAATCACACACACACATACACACACAAAACCATGCACGCACGTGCACACACCTGTGTAGAGAGAGTGTCTTTGCTAGGTATGGTGGCACACACCTTTAATCCCAGTACTTGGGAGTGAGAGGCAGGTGGGTCTCTGTGAGCTTAAGGCTAGCCTGGTCTACATGGTGAGTCCCAGGCTACTCTGGTCTAGATAGTGAGTCCTAGGCCACTCTAGTCTACATGGGAGGCAGGCCACTATGGTCTACATGGTGAGTCCCAGGCCAGTCAAGCCTACATAGTAAGACCCTGTCATAAGACAGGAAGAATCTTTCTATGTGGAGATGGGGAATCACTGCCAGACAGTAGATTACTTGGGGCAACTCAAGTCATGTGATCCTAGAAACTGTAGTTTCCTAACCCCACCAGCCTGGGGTCGCAGTGCTCAGCATAGTTACTGACCTTGAAATCCTCCCATTGTGTCCTTACCTTCATCTTGCTGCTTCTGGACATTCTCTTATCCACTGCCCGCTGGATTGTACAGGATGTTCACCATGGGAACGGCACACAGCAGACTTTCTACCAGGACCCCAGTGTACTCTACATTTCCCTTCATCGCCATGACGATGGCAACTTCTTCCCAGGCAGTGGGGCCGTGGATGAGGTTAGTGCATGCTGGGTCGGCGTCTTCCAGTCCATTGACTTTCCCCTGTCCCTCTGTCCCTGTCATGTGTGATCCTGAGCAAGTGGCTTATCCTTTCTGAGCCTCGGCTTCCCTATCTGGAGGTGAAGAGGTTGGATAAGCTTGGGACTCTGTTCTCTTCACATCTGCCTTGCATCCTGTTTTCCAGGTGGGAACTGGCAGTGGCGAGGGTTTCAACGTCAATGTGGCTTGGGCTGGGGGCTTGGATCCACCCATGGGGGATCCTGAGTACCTGGCTGCTTTCAGGTAAGTCCTCTGGGGTCTAAAGGAAGCCAGTCTGGTAAGACAACCCTCCTCCCTTTCCCACAGCCCTAGGTTGGAAGTGATCACCGTTGGGTTGTCAGCCGTTCCCATTGGCTCACTAGACATCATAGGCAAGCTCCAATTTAAAAAAAAAAAAGTGGGACATAGCCAAACATGGTGGCGCATGCCTTCAATCCAAGGGGAGGCAGAGGCAGGCAGAACTCTGAGTTTTCAGCTAGCTAGTCTATAAAGTGGGTTTCCAGATAGCCAGGGTGACACACAGAAACCCTGTCTTGAAAAACAGAACAAAACAAAACGGTGTGTATTTGGAAGGACACATAAGAATGAGAAAGTCAGAGCCATACGTCTTGAGGATGTTTGCATAGATCAAAACTGCCACATTTAGTCAAAGAGGGCTGCCTGGAGGAGATGAATCTCTGGCGAGAGTAGAAACTTGGCATCCTTAAATGCTGTCCGCACGGAGGGATGGGTTTACTTTAGGACACAGCCCTGGAAAGAGCTTTGGGATCTTGTAAGTTGTCCTCGTCTCCTTCACCCCAGGTCCCCATGTCTGTTTAGAAAAACAGAACCCTAGAATTTGATCTCTAAGTCTCTCTCCATGAACATTAACTCTGCAGGACCCCTGAGTGGGACTTCCTGCCATCTGTGCTGGGCTTAAATGCCCAGGTGGACACCAGCATTGGGTCAGGGGCAGGCAGGGGGAGGAAGAGGAAGGATGGAGTTTGGCAGCCCAGGACCAGAGGGTCTAATCACTCTTGTTTGCCCTCAGGCAGCAAGTTGCCTAGGTCACCTCTACATTGAGTGTGCTCAGTTTCAGCCAAAGTTCTGGGTGTTTTCAGTTCCCAGGCTTAATGACCAGAGCCAGCTCCGTGTAGCTGGCTATGTGAAGCGCACACCATGCTTGCAACCCACATTCCTTTGTCCTGTCCTTGAGATCTCTGCCTCTATTCTGCCTCATGTTAGTTAAATTCTCTGTATGGCTGAGTCCAAGGCTGTGGGGTACCAGAGCCACAGCCAGGATAAAGGAGATCAAACCACTAATCCCATTAGGACACTGTGCTTCTTGGTGTCCTACGGGCTGATGTCCTTAGTGAAGTTGGCAGGAGGGGCTAGCATGGGCTGGCTTGCACCATGTGTTGGGCAGGGTTGACGACGCCTCTCCTTGCAACTTCAGGATAGTGGTGATGCCCATTGCCCGAGAGTTTGCTCCAGACCTGGTCCTGGTGTCTGCCGGGTTTGATGCTGCCGAAGGTCATCCAGCCCCGCTGGGTGGCTACCACGTTTCTGCCAAATGTAAGGAGGGCCTCGGCTGTGGGGGAGTTGTGGGGACTAAGAACCAGGCTGTGTGGGGGACAGGAACACACTGCCAAAACTAAAGGGGCAGGAGGCAGTGGCCTCGGTCCAGGGCTACGTGTAAGGTCTTGAGTAGGCCGACAGGCTAGCACAGCCTTACAGCACACACATGCTTCTCAAGGTCAGTCCAGATCTCATAGGTCAGACCCCTGGAGACTTAGGTCTACCAGATGGAAGTCCAGTTGTAGAAGCCAGGTTTCCAGACTGGGCTTCGGAGGGAGGAAGTTAGAAGATCAGTTTTCTCAGAACAGATCTGTGGGTTCAGTCCACTATGCCCCAGGGTCTGGGGACAAAGTAGTTGTGGCCCAGTTAGAGAGACGTGGCCTGGCGGTGATGCTGGGATCCAAGTCTCAGCCCTGACATCTACTAGCTGTGGGACCTTGAGTATAAGACCCTTAGCTTCTCAAAACAGAATGAAGCGTATGAATGGGTTTCACATGGGGATCTAGTCTTTAAGACACTGTCTATCAAGAAAGATGCAAGCAGGAAAATGGCAGAGGCAAGACATGGGTCTGCCTCTCCTCCAGCCCCCGCCGCTCTCTCTCGCCTCAACCATGTAGGTTTTGGGTACATGACACAGCAGCTGATGAACTTGGCAGGAGGTGCAGTGGTGTTGGCCTTAGAGGGCGGCCATGACCTCACAGCCATCTGTGATGCCTCGGAGGCCTGTGTGGCAGCTCTTCTGGGCAACAAGGTAAGCCCCCTGTCCCCCAGCTAGCTTAGCTATATCTCTACAGTGCAGGTGAGCCTGGCTCTCACAGTTGTGGGACAAACATGGTAGATAACATGGGAAGGGCTAGGGATGGGACTGTCCTTTTTTGGTAACGTTTGGTAGGTGGCACAGTGGGAGTTCCCCCCCCCCAGGTCAGGTCTAGGGCCAGTGTCTTCTGTTGTCACAGAGTGAGCCAACAGCTCATGCCTGTTTGTGAAAGCTGAATCTGGGGTGCCTGACGAAATGTTTCTGTAGGTGGATCCCCTTTCAGAAGAAAGCTGGAAACAGAAACCCAACCTCAATGCCATCCGCTCTCTGGAAGCTGTGGTCAGGGTGCACAGTGAGTTTTTCCCTGGGGGAATTGCTGGGTCCAAACTTGGGAGAGCATCAAGGGCCCACCTTCCTGGGGACAAGGGTCTCAGAGATTCCAGTGCCAGCCAGGTCAGATGCACACTGACAGTCTCGAACAGGATCCCCAGGTACCACCACCTCAGGAGTAATGGTGGGCATCCCCCCATTATTGGGTAACTTAGCCCTCCTGCTGGACCCACCGTGGACCAAACAGTGGCTTCCTGTGGCAAGGACTGGCTTTCCATCTCTGGCTATAGTCTTGGGTCAGGGGGCCAACAGCAACACTCAGGCCTTGTTTGCCAAAAAAGCTTAACCTCTTCAGTGCTGGTCACAGGGACTGGAAAGCTGTGTGAAGGGCATACCTGGGTCTCAGAATATAACCACTCCAAAGAGCCCACATTTGGAAAACATGTTAAAGATTGGGTTTCAGCTAGGTTAAAGCTAAACACTGTTCTGTGTTAAAACACTTTCTGTGAAGGCCCAGAGTTTCTGCTGGGATACAATGGCTAAGATTCCTCATAGTCAGGGCTTGGCTGGGGAACCAGACAGAAAGCCACAGATGGAGCTGACCATGGAACCTCCTGTGAGCCAAGTTCTGCACTGAGCTGGTCCATGTCTACCATTGTGTCAAAATAGCATGATGATGAGTGTCCCGTGAGCCAGAGGTGGCTGTGCAGAGCACCTGTAGGGATGCTTGCCCCTTCTCTGTGCCCTGATTTTCTTACCTATTACCCCTCCCCCACTTCAGTATTGAACCGGGGTCTCTATAGGCATTCACTCTACTGCTGGACTACAGCCTCAGGTCTTTAGTTATTTGGTTTTGTTTGATACTGGGTCTCAGTATGTAGCCCAGGCTGCCTTCCATCTTGTGATCCTCCTGCCTCAGCTTCTGCCTGCTGGAATCGCAGGCATTTATTAGCATGCCTGGCTCCTGGGGATAGGCCAGGCAGTGTGGAAGCCACATGAGGGACCCTATGCTCTAGGAAGCTAAGCCAAGATGTAGGGACAAATGACCCTCCTGGTGCTTTTGGGATCCACACGCTTTTTATTAGTTATTTTGGGGATTTTTGGAGACAGGGATTCTCTGTAGTCCTTGCTGTCCTGGAACTCACTTTGTAGACCATGGCCTTGAACTCAGTGATCCAACTTCCTCAGCCTCCTGAGTGCTGGGATTAAACACGTGTGCCACCATACCTTATTTTATTTACTTTTCTATGCAGATGAGTATTTTGTCTGCATGTATGTCCATGCATCATGTGTGTGCCATACCCTTATCGGCCAGAAGAGGGCATCAGATCCCTTGAACCAAAGTTTGATGTGGTTGTGAGCTACCAAGTAGGTGCTGAGAGTCAAACCCAGGTCCTCTGGAAGAGTAACCAGTGCTCTTAACTGCTCATCCGTCTCTCCAGCCCTCTAGAGTGAAATTTTAGCCAAGGAGGATGGGAAAGGATCTTAGTTATCTGTGGAGATGGCCTCAGAGCCATATTGAGTCTGCTCTGTTGCCCAGGGCTGTAGGGTAGCGATGAGTTGGGAGAGGGTGTTTTGCTGAGAGGTGAGGGTAGGAGGTAGCCACTATTCTTGGGCTTTGGGCCTGAGTCCCCAAGCCTTGGTATTGGTCTAGGATATAACTCAGCTTGTCTTCCCCAACTGACCCAGCTTCTTGTCCTAGGGAAGTACTGGGGCTGCATGCAGCACCTGGCCTCCTCTCCAGACTCCTGGCTATCCAGAGTGCCAGGAGCGGATGCAGAAGTGGAAGCCGTGACCGCACTGGCATCCCTTTCCGTGGGCATCCTGACTGAAGACAGGTAACGCCAGATCCCCAGCCCGAGGCCCACAGCCTTCTCATCTCCTCGGATTCTCTCATCTTGAGGACCTCAGACTCTCATGTAGCTAATCTCTCGGGCCTTTAAAGCAGAACTATGAGGGTAACCCCACTAAGGCCCGCCCACAGACCTGTGGCCCTCCCATATCCCATCCTTGTCCCACTCTCAGGCCCTCGGAACAGCTGATGGAAGAGGAAGAGCCCATGAATCTCTAGGGTTTCGGAACAGATCACCCTTCAGACGTGACTTTCCTCATCTCGGTTGTCAGCCCTGGTCCTGGGTCTTCAGAGAGCCTCTGGGCAGGTAGTCAGATCCAGAGCACAGCCTACCCTGACAGCTATTCCCAAGGAACTTGAGAAGACCAACGGGGTCTGGGATGGGGACCAGGGAGGACTCTGAGAGGAGGCAGGCTGGGCACTAGGGCCCAGCTGGGCTCTTCTAGAACAGATAAGGCCTTCTGGTATCCAGGCCCCTGGCTGTGACCTCCATCCATCAGGACTGCACAAAGAGGGACTGGCTCAAGCGGGCCCTTCCATAACCACTATTCTTAATTTGGCCTCAGCTGGGGTGGCCTTTCCCAGGTTCTGAAGGGCTAGAGGAGTGTGGGGAGCCAAGGGTCCCCTATTCCCGAGTACAGGAGAGTTTCCTCTCGCCAGCTTCCTCAGATGCCTTTCTGGTAGCACTGGGCTCTGAGAGCCATTCTGAGCTGCTCTCTCCCTGTGAGTAGTCACCTGCACCCATCAGTCACTGTCCCACCAAAGGCCACGCTATGTGGACCATCTCAGTGCCCTGGTGCAGCAGACAGGTGCTCTCTGAGTCCTGTGTCTCCTAACCCAATGGTGCCAAACCTTCATCTCCCTTCAGAAGCACAACAGAATCCCAGGGATGCCTGGTCACTGCCCCCAGTATGAGCCTTCTGTTTCTGGGGTCCCCTCGCCCCTCAGCTCTGACTGCTGCCCCACATGGACTAGCTTGGCTGAGGGGAACAAGGTGGGAGAATAGACAGACATGAGGGAGGGGAGGCCACCCCGGAAGTCTTCGAGGCTTTTGAGGTCTAGGCCTGGGACCAAGAAAGAGTATTTGTGTGTATGTGTGTGTATGAGTGTGTGTAAGAGTGTGTATGTGAGTGTGTGTGTGTGTCTTCCCCCAGCCCCACCGTACCATGTGTATGTATGCATGTTTTTGTAAAAAAGAAAAAAATGAAAAAAAAAATCTGAACAACATATGTTTTATTTGCTTTAAAGTCCTTGGGAGAACACCTCCTAGATGTTGGTGGGACATCGTTAGTGGGGTGGGTTTGCACCCAGCATCCTTCGATGGGCTGGGGAAAAGGGACAAGTCTGGGCCTAACTCAGACCCTCTAGTCCTTTATCCTTCCATGGCTACTGCATGCAGGAAGAAACCACTCCAAATCTCTGCTCACCAACCCAGGTGAAAAAGGAGATGGCCCCGGCCTGAGCCTTACACTGTGGGCTTGTGGGATTTGGGAACAAGATCTCAGATTCAATTTGCCATGACTTCATGATAGGTCATGAAGCAGACACACCTGGGCGTAAGTCCTAGCCCGGAGGTCAGTAAAGTCTTTGCCTCCTGTATCAGTAGGGGCTTCTTCCAGTAGAAGGCCCTAGAAGTAGACATGGCTCCTTGTTCCTCCCTGCTCTGCAGTGCCATGATGTTTTGAGCATACGCTGTAAAGGACGGGTGAGGCAAAACAGGCCAGGACAAGTGTACCCAGCGTGAGAGGGAGGTGCTAGCTCCTGCCTTTCTGGTTCTGAATATGCTCACCCTGGTCACCATGTACCTTGGAGCCCCAAGAGTCCCTTTCCCGTCTAACTTGGCTTAGGGTGCGGGGATAACCAAGAGGGACCAGAGGTGGGAGAGGAGCTGCCCAGAAGCCCCAAACTTAGGGAGATGATCAGATAGCTAGAACCCCCATCTTGCCCACTCCTGTCCCCTCTCAAGACCCCACCCACCCACAAAGAAACACCCCGAGGCTGGTTAAAATGGCCGATGTATTTCCGCTGAAGTGCCCATGACACAGGTAAGGCAGAGAGCTGGGGCCAGTGCCCATGTGGAAAAGCAGACGTGCAAAATGGTAACCTACCAGAGAAGGATACATGTAGCAGACCCTGCACTCCCTCTCAGCTTAGGTAAGGCCTTGGGCCCTGTGTCTACACAGAAGAGTTCCTTCAGGAGAGAGAGAAGGTGAAAGGTCAAAGTTGGGGTCTGGTGCAGGGAGAAAGACCTCAAGGGTCAAGGTGGTCTTGGGCAGTGAGGGGCAGGTGAGGTGCAAGGCTGGAGCCTCAGTACAGATGGGGAGGTCCCACTTGCCCCCACCAGGTTGCCCCCGATCCCAAAGCCCTTCTAGGTGCAGGGGTGTGTTTTCTGTGGTCCTCAAGTCTAGACTCATCTGAGGAGTCCTGCTCTGGTGTATGTGGTCATGTGTACACGTGCGACACACGGGAATGGTTGGCTGGTGCTAGCACCCTCGTGGGAAACAAACTCTGGATGGGAAGGTAGGAGGGATGGACGCTGGATTCTGTCCAACTGTGCTGCTCAGGGGAAGAGCCAGCTGTCACTTCCCTAAGGACCGATGAATGTAGCTACCCGCCCTTTGAGGACAATAGGGTGGGGGACCTGGGATGGACGTCTGTACTAAAGAATCCCCACTTGACCAGACCTTTGATGTCTCCCACACAGTTTCAGTGAAGTCTGGGTAGCAAGGAAGCCTGTCCCAGCCCCTGCCACTAGCCATGGTTTCAATCTTACCCATTGAATTCATTGTCATGGCCCTTCTTACAAAGATCCCTCAGAGTGCTAAGAAAATAGATCCATTTGGAAAGGTCTAAGCTGCCCTCTAGCTGGGCTAATGGGCAGATTGGCAGTACCCCTTTATCAGCTCCATGTTTTCCCCCCAAAAGGGGTCCAGACAGATTTTTGGGAAACTGAACTGGCCCATATACTCCACGCCATGGTTCTGGAGTCCCCAGGGATTGGGGTGAGCTCCCTTGATGACTCAGAAGCTGAGTCCAGATCCCGAGGCCCTCCCCCAGGCTGTAGTGACCTCATTCCCTGGGCTAGAAATCACTAAGGATGCTGATGTCAGCGAAGTCAGCCCGGTAGCGGTGGGCGTAGAGGCTGAGGAGGAAGGCCCACTTGAAGGAGATGAAGCTCCAGACACAGGAGAGGTAGTAGCTGTTGGGGTCTTTGAGACCTGCAAGGGAAAGAGCCAGACGGTAACCTGAGGGATCTGCTCACAACACCACAGCCAGGACCCTATTCCCACTCCACATCCTCCCAGCCTCCTGACCTCCGAATCAATGCTACCGAAAGGTGGGCGTGTGGTGCGGGTTTAGAGTAACACTGCATGTTTGGTCACAGAGCTGGGGTCATGAAAAGAAGTCAGAGTTGGCCAGCAGGTCTGCACCGCCCACTGTGCTTCTGTGGCACACACACACCTTCATCCCATAGGGGACAGCCTCTGATATTTCTTACCACCACCACCAGGGGGTGCTGCCCTCCTGAAGCTAGGCAGAGATGAAAGGACCCCAGCAACTGAGTGTTGGGGGTCCCCACCACTTCATACCAGACTCGAACCCTCCTACCCCTGAGATGGGGGCTCTCTTTTCCCGTTTTAACAATAAGGATCTCCCCCGGTAGGGGAAGAGGTCAAGCAATCCTTGCAGTCCCTAGAAGAGCCAGGGTACACTATCAAGTTGCTAGCTACTCCCAGACCCCCTCCCTTCCTCCTTTCCCCGACGGTCCTCACTCTGGTGCTGAGTGATGGCCAATGCCAGGAAGGTGCAGAAGGCAGAAACGGAGACTGCGGAGAAGAGAGCACCCACGAAGAAGAAGCCCCGCAGCCCTCTGAGCCAGGTCCTCCAGTAATCCTGCATGTACATCACGTGAGTCACCAAGACCCACAGGGCCAGGACACCTGCGGGGACAGACTCAGTCAGCAAGACCCAGGCACCTGCCTGCCATGTCACCTGGCATCTAGCCCAGTGGTGCCCACCTAGGGCCCTTGAGGTCTACTGGGCTAGATCTACCCGCATGATGACACCAGAACTGGCCCTCATGACTATGACGTGATACCTGGGAAATGTGACATTACCACTTGAACACGGGGGCGGTGAGACTCCAGCTGCCTTCCAGAACGCTGGGCATTAAAGAGACATGGAAAACAAAACCACCCTCTACTCTGTCATTTCTATTTTCACTATCTCCTTCTCCTTCTTTCTCTTCCTCCCCCCACCTCTCCTCCCCAACTCCTTCTTCTTTGGGAGAAACAGGGTCTTTCTTTGTTTTGTTTTCCCAGACGGGATTTCTCTGTGTAGCCCTGGCTGTCCCGGAACTTGCTCTATAGACCAGGCTGGCCTCAAAATTGTAGATGCACCTGCCTCTGCCTCCTGAGTGCTGGGATTAAAGGTGTGCACCACCACTGCACACATCTTGAAAATACTATGGTAGCCAGGTGGCAGTGACTCACACACCTTTAATCCCAGCACTCGGGAGGCAAAGGAGGGTGGATCTCTGAATTCGAGGCCAGCCTAGTCTACAGAGCAAGTCAGGACTACACAGAGAAACCCTATCTCCAAAAAAACAAAAACTAACAAAACCAAACAATGTTAAATATTTCTTCTAAATGCCTAAAAGAGTGTCAGTTTTAGCTTCTAATGTCCATAGATAGCATCCCCCTAAATAGAATTTGTTTGGAGTTTCACTCTGAGAACTTTACATAGAGACTTCCTGATGCCTATCTGAAGTTATAGAAGTATTGAAGAAGGCCTTCTCCCACACTCCTCCTCTGTCTGCTCCCCAGGGACCACACCTCTGGGCCCTGGAGCCTGCAGCTGAGCTCACCAGGACTCTTCTCAACTGTACCAGACTTGCAAAAAAAAAAAAAAAAAAAAAAAAAAAAGGAAGCCCTGTCATGAGGTCCCCCAGGGCTACCCACCACTCAAGTGGCCTACTTGCTTTGGGCGAGGCCGCCTACCAGTGTGTGACAAAGGGCAGCCTAAGATCCCAGACCCTTCTGGGCATGCCCTCTGGGCCCAGTGGGCACTTCTCCTAGGATGCCAGCTGCTCTCAGTCCATGACAACAGAATACAGTGCAACCCTCCGTGCCAGGCAGTGCCTGCTGGTGCAGTTCAAAGAATAAAACAAATGCCAATTCCATTGGCAAGGCCTTGGAGCAGGGCTGTGGGGCCAAGCAAAGGAAGGAGGAGAGAAGAGAGGCAGCGACCCTCTCAGTACAGCCGTGGGTTGCAGGCAGGCCCCTTAGGCTCCTGCATCCAGAAGGGGAGAGCCTTTTCAGATCATTAGAGGCGTAGCACAAGTGCTGTGACCTCTCAAACGGAGAGACAGACATCCATCTGGCTGTGAAGGAGGGTGCAGCAGGGATAGAGGGAAGCAAAGGGACCCTCTGACTGCCACCAGGCATCTTATTTCTTAGGCTGGGAAATGAGCACAGACATTTGTGAAATCTGCTCCGACCTCTTCTAGGCTAGGAGGCACGGAGTGCAGGTGGCAAGTCACCAGCTTAATTGTCTCAATGCGACAAAACCAAACCAGGGATAATAGAAACCAGGAAACTTAGGGCCAGGGCACCGTTTTGTCCTTGGTGCTGCCAATTGTGAAAAAGAGTGAACCTGAGGTCCTGCCAGTCTGGATAAGCAGGGAAACCTGGGCTTCTTCCTGTGCGGGTGTGAGCCCACCCACCCACATACCTACACTGCTTTCCCTGCCTGCTAGTCCGACACCTCCCATCACCATCCTTTCAGTTCAGTCCGAACTGGCCCTCAACCTTCCTCCTTGGGATGGGTCCCCATTACCCTAGAGCTCTGGGTGGTGGAAAACAAACATGCCTCCATCTGTCTTGTCAGGAAGCCACAGCGGGCCAGAGGAAGCCAGAACCCTAATCCCCGCATTACCCTCCATGATCTGGATTTTACTCCAGCAACCTCCACAGAAGTCTCCCTGTCCCTCCTCAAGTTTTTGCCTGCAGGGAGTTGGTTGGTTTCTCTCCTTATGGGGTGCTGAAGATTGAACCCAGGGCTCTGCACTTGGGGACCCACTTTACCGTGAGCTCTACCCCTGAGCACGTGGGCTTTTGTCATTTCATTTCAGGGGACAGTCTAGTTCTTGTCCTCTTTCCTCACGCAGGAGGTGCAATAAGTGAGTTCTAAGATCCTTTCCCATTTAAAAGATTCTGGAATCCAGCTTAGGAGGGAAAAGGAGGCCAGAGCAGCTTCTCTGTGGCTAAGCAGTTGCAGGGACAGAAAATGCCAAACTAGGAAGTGTAAAGACCACCACTAGGAAGTCATCTCATACCACCAGCACAACCCAGGGGGCCCCCAAACCCTCACCTCCACATACGCCCAGAAGTACTGAGAGCAGGAAGAGAAGAGGGTGGCTCAGGTGGCCCTGAACCCACCTCCAGCCCTGTACTCAGGCCTCCTCCAGGGCAACATGCTCCAGCTGGAGGCCTCATCCCACCCTGGCTGTCCCTGGAGAGCTCCACAAGTGGTCACCAAGGAAGTGTCCCTCAGTGGTTCCCTTCTATACTCTGTGGGAAGCAACTGTACCCTGCCTTTCTCTGTTCCCTTTCCTGGGATACTCAAGGGCTCCAGGATGCCCGGTCTATACAACTTGGAGGAGTATGGACAAGTCCCCGGCCCCGACTGGCTGTGGGAGTAAGCTAGATCTCATCCTGGCTCCTCTCTACCTCCTCCCAGGCTAGAGCTGCCTAGGCTCTGGGTTCATAGGCCTGGGTAGGGAAAGCACTTCCAGCTGTTAGGCTGGATGAGAAGCTAGGAGGTGCCCAAGGGGAGCCTATGGAGTAAATACAGGCATTGGCTATACCACTCTGAGGACACACCCCAGGCCTGCTGCTCTGCCCGGAGGACAAAGGAGACCCAGGGTACCAGAGTGCCTCTCCATCAAAGCTCAATTGTGAAGAACACAGAGATGTTTGGATGTGGGGGGACAGGTACTTTTGATGGTTTTCTAGACACAGAGCACGCATGTTACCTAGGGCTCCTATTGCAGAGCCAGGGTGGGTGGGGTGGGGGGGAGGGGTCCGATGAAGCCTCTCCAACAAACCCACACTTTTTTAGGACACTGCCTTTTTGCAAAGTCACTTCCTCCCAGATTCCTGCCAGGATAAGAGTGGGTCCCCACCCCCAAATGCTCATACATATCCTGTTCCAGAAGCCAGCATGTCCAACAGCCACAGTTGACCAACACGGGCAAACCCCACTAGGATGGTCCCTGTGACTCAGCAATTTCTGGGCTGCAAAACGCTGAGTCAGAAGTGGAGTGCTTGCAAGTCAGAAAACCTGCTGACATTCCAACCCAAAAGAGGAAGGAGGGTGACTGCCATGGACCCCCTGTCGCAACCCATGCTGGGTCGTCAGGAAAGAGTGCCCACCAGCCACTTCCACCAAGCAGTTTTGGCTCCTCACAAACACCTCGGGTTGCCAATATCCAGGCAACCTGGGAGATGTGTGTCCCTACCCCAGCTAATTGCGTCCACCTGCCTGTCTCTGAAGGCAGCTTCATGGCCAGCCTGCCTCGGGTCAGGCAAGGGCATCAAGGAAGGAACAAGTGGAGAACGGGTCAGAGGGAGGCCCTGTGGCTGCCGGGAGTGGGGACTGGAACCCTTCCTCTGCTCTTTGTTGTTATGAGACAGGGTTTGTCTGTGTAGCCCTGGCTGTCCTGGAACTCAGAGATCCACCTGCCTCAGCCTCCCTCGTGTATCACCGGCTCCTGGCAATAAGCAATCAGACACACAGCTTGAGAGAGTGGACAGTAGCACCCAGCAACGCACGCCCAATGGGAAGTCAGTGGCATCTCAGTCAGAGGCATCTACGTCTCCCAGCAGGCCCTGTCGTGACTCCCACGGCACCTCCCACGTCACCTCCCACGTCACCTCCCACGGCTCCTCCCACGGCTCCTCCCACCGGCCTGACTCTGAACACAGTCAGCTGATGCCAGCAAAGCCCTTCCTCCATCCTGCAAGCAGAGAGCTTATCTCAAGCCTCAGCATCCAGCCGTGGGCCAAAGACAGTGCCTTCCAAACGCAGAAGCAGCAGGGCCAATAGGAAGTGTGGAGGAGGTCAGTACAGGGGAAAGGTTCTGTGCACAACAGGCTGGGGTGCTGGCTGTCCCAGGAGGGTCAGGAGTCCACAGGTGGTCCACCCACACAGGCTCGAGACCTCCCAGCCAGAGCACCAAACCCAACCTTCATGGTGACCTCAGTCCCTTGCTTGGCACGCCTTAAGTTTAGAAGCCCGTGCATGCCCTCTGATAAGGCAGAAACCCCACCTCCGGCTCCCGTTCCGCCTCAGGAAGAACTCAGTGCATTCAGAGGCAACGAGTGAATTTGTTTTGTTGTCGTTTTAGTTTTTTGAGACAAGATTTCTCGGTGTAGCCTGGGCTGTCCCAGAATCCACTCTGTAAACTAGGCCGCCCTTGAACTCAGAGCTCCATCTGCCTCTGCCTCCCGAGTGCTGGGATTAAAGGTGTGCACCGCCGCTCCCCCGACATGAATGAATTATTTCGAGTTATTGATAGACCTTTGGTCAAGGATTTTAGTCATGGAATTTAAGTCGTTGTATCTTAACATGTTTTCTTTACACATACTTTGGCCATACATATTACTTCATGTGGCTGTCGTAGTGTAGGGTTAGTTTTCCCAGTAGGACTTTCAATGCCATTAGTATGCTAACCTGAATCCTGAGTTCTAGGGATGGAAATCGGGTCGGCCAGGCTTTCGAGGCTGAGCCTTCTTGGGGGCTCATGATATGGCTGTTGCAACCCTGGACAAATTATTTATTTACCCTAAGCCTCGATCGATTTTTCTAGCTGCAAAATGGGCACAGTAATGTTACTTCAGAAGATTAAGGAGTAGATGAAAGAAGGAGAGTAGATTGTTTAGCACAGCAAAAAAAAAAAAAAAAAAAGGATTAAATTATGCTAATAAGTCCAAATAATATATTTGGCCTTCACATGGAGAGATTAAACGGCGTGACCAAAATTCCACATTAGATACAGAGCACTGCTGGGCCTTTGGCACCTCCTCGTCCCTCAGGGATTAGCAGATTCCCACTGGTTCCGACCAGAGCAGATGGACACGGGTGTAAAGGGAATGTCCAGTAACACGGGGTCCACAGCACAGTCCTGGTCTCGGCCGAGGGCCTCTGGGGCTGAAAGGGAGCTGCCTGATGGGTTTTCCCACGAACCCCACTTATTATAAGAGATGCGGTAATCCTGCACAAACAGTGTGTTGCGGGAGCGAGGGTGGCCAGGGCATGGGCGCGCAGAGGACGCTCTAGTGGCCATGGGGTGGAGGGTAGATTCACAGGGTGCCGGGAGGCGACAGCCCCGGAGCCGCAGGGCTGTAAGAACCACAGGGGCGGGCTGTGGGCACCCTAGGTCCCGTCTTGTTCAGAAGGCACCAGGTCCCAGAGGCCCGGGCACTGCCCAAGAACCCGGGCCTGCGCTGTCTCTGATCTCTCTGGAGTAAACAAGGCTCCAGCCCCCGGGGCAGCGCCACCCCAGACGCTGCGCGCAGCCCGCCCCGATCGCCCCGCGCCACCCCCGGGATACCTGCGAGACCCCCCATCGCCGCAGTCCCCGGTTGTCGGTAGACCACCGTCCAGACGAAGAAGATGGAGAAGCCGGCCACCGAGCTGAAGCCGGAGTAGGCGGCGCGGAGGCCGAGCTGCAGCCGGGACGGGGCCATGGGGCAGCGGAGGAGCAGCGCCGCCGAGTCACAGGTGCAGGGCCCGAGCTGGAGCCCAAGCCCCAGCCCCAGCCCGAGCCCGAGCCAGAGCCGCTGCCGCCCGGCGCTCCGCCCCCAGCCCGCCCCCGGTGCCGCCGGCACAGCGCCCTCCCCGGCCGGAGGCCGCTCCCGACACCGCGGCTTGGCAAAGGCCGGCGACCCCTGGTGGAAGGGCAAGGTCCCAGGCTCATCCCCAGACTGCCACCTATCTAGCGTGTCCTTGGCTGGCCCGAGATAGCTACAATGATCACTTAAAAAAATATTTTATATATGTGAGTACACTGTCGCTGTCTTCAGACACACCAGAAGAGGGATCGGATCCTATTATATATGGTTATGAGCCGACATGTGATTGCTGGGAATTGAACTCAGGACCTCTAGAAGAGCAATCAGTGCTCTTAACACCTGAGCCATCTCTCCAGCCCTAACGACCACTTTTTAATTTTTAAAATACTTCTGAATTTTTTGAGATGCGGTCTCTCCACGTAGCATAGGCTGTCTTAGAAATCAGAGCCCCTCCTGCCTCTGCCTCCTGTGTTCTGGGATTAAATTTTGAATGGGAAGCTCAAACACAGTAAAAATTACTAGTTAAGGCTATAGAAATTAGCCAGGTGTGGTGGTGCAGGCCTTTAAACCGGTGGAGGTAGAGGCAGAAGGAAGCAGATCTCTGAGTTCGAGGGAACCCAGAGCTAGACAGTGAGACCCAATCACAAACCAAAGCAAACAACGGGGAAAAAAACCCATAAAACTGCGCATGATGGCCCACATGTGGAATCCTGGCACTTGGGAAGTGGCCCAGGAGAAGAGACAGCAGACCTGGGGAGCTGGTTTGAATCCCCAACTCCCCTGAAATTAAATAAATAAAATAAAAACTGAAAATCTAAAATAATACAACATACAATTAACATATTCCTTCTTTCTACCAGCCAGCGGTGGTGATGTACACCTTTAATCCCAGCACTCATTAGGCAGAAGCAGGTGGACCTTGTTGAGTTGGAGGCCAGCCTGGTCTACAGAAGGCAGCCAGGGCTACACAGAGAACCTCTGTCTCAAAAGACCAAAATAAAGAGAAAAAAAAATCTTTCTACCCCTATTCCCAACCAGTGGGTTTCCTCCCCAAAAGTTATACACACCGCACAAGATTGCCCCACACGTTTGCCGCTATTTTAATTTGTTAAATTAAAAAGTGATCATTGTAGCTGGCACGGGTAAAGATGCATTTCCAGGCCCGCCAAGGACCGGCTAGGTAGATGGGGGTCTGGGGATGGGCCCAGGACCTTGCCCTTCCACCATGGGTCGCCGGCCTTTGCCAAGCCTCGGTGTCGGGAGCGGCCTCCAGCCTGGCCGGAAGCACTAGCTTCCAACACCTTCTCCCTTTCCTTCCCACAACTCTCAAACCTAATCCCTCACAAGCTTGCCCTAGCCTCTGTAGTGCATCCACAGCAGAACAGCACGGTGCCTCCACCAGCTCAGCTTCGTGAGTACAGACCGCTGACAGGCAAGATCAAAGCAAAAGCGGGGCTCAGCACTCCAGGATCCAGAGTCCTCTGACAGGGCCACTCGGTGCACCCCTAGACCCCACAGTGTGAGTAACTAGCATCCTTTCCCTACAGCGACAAATACCACAAATCTTATGATCTAAAGCAACACAAATGCATTACAGTCCGTAGGTCAACGGTCCAAATAGAAATGTCACTGGACTGAAAGCAAGAGGACTCCCGGGCTCCCTCCCCAGGGAAGCTGTAGGGAACCGCTGTTTGCAGGCTACTCCCGCTTCTGGACGGTCTGAGACTCCTCCCTCGCCCTCCTCCCTTTTTTTTTCCACAAGGACCACAGTAATCCAGGACAACCTCCCTGTCTCAAGATGCTTAACTCTCTCACAGCAGCCAAACTCATCAAGTAAGGCACTCACACGGCTTGTAGGGACTCAGATGCAGATATCTTGAAGGCTCTGCCTGATTCACCCTTCTAGAAGACCAACTCCGTGAGCAGCAGTGGTTCCAGTTTCAGCGACACCAACACCCAGCAGTGTCAGGCATCCAACCCCCCTTGGTACACATCTGTTGAACAGATGACTGTGAATGACTGAAGCAAACATTAAATACCAGTGAAGGCGATTTAGACACAAGCAGTCTAAAGAGGATTGGCAAGCACGTGACGTAAATCACATTTATCTTACTTCAAAAAAATCATCTGGGGATGGGGGGGGGTGGAGCATGCGTCTATAAAAATGTCCAAATTAATTCCAGCGCCACTTTCTCTTTTTCAGATTTGAATGTTTGCTGTGATTGGTTGGTTTGGGTTGTTTGGAATCTTGAGACAAGGTCTCACTATGTAGCCCATGCTGGCTTCTAAGATCCTCCAGCCTGGGAGGCTGGAGAGATGGCTCAGGGGTTAAGAACACTGGCTGCTCTTTCAGAGGTCATGAGTTCAATTCCCAGCAACCACATGGTGGTTCACAACCATCTGTAATGGGATCCAATGCCCTCTTCTGGTTGATTATCTAGATAGATAGATATCTAGATAGATATTCTTAAAATTATTATTTTTAAAATAAGGGATGATTCTGATGTACAAATTCATTTCAACTATCTTCTGGGTGGCGTGTGGAGACAAAGTGGGTGAGAGTCACCAGAGGAACACAGCCTTGAGGTCCAGAGCCCTGCCATAGATAGTTTCAGAGCTGGTCAGGATGGACAATATCCTAGGAATTAGGAGTGAATTAGGAATGTAGTACATAAGACAGGCCTGGGGCAGGGGGCATGCACTCTGGAAATGATAACAATTTTTTTTTTGTAGCTGGACTGTTATATTTGAGCTGGAATGGTGGGTTTTGAGCTTGGAAAGAATCATATATTGCAGAGATTCCAGAGGTTATGAGGTCATGAGTTCAATTCCCAGCAACTACATGGTATATGCAGGGCCTTGCAGCATTTACCTCCTTCCTCACAGCCTGGAGTAGCTGTGTTCTAGAAATATCACCTGATACTACTGTGAAGAGGGACTGCCCAGGGAAGACAGAAGCAGGGAGATCAGTGGGACCCTTCCTTCCCTCTTCAGTACAATGGTTACTGTGGCTATAAAGTGGAGACAGGCAGCCACTGTGCCCACTTCAAAGAGTTCTGAGGAGCAGTTGGTGCTTGGCCGACTTCCTGGCACACCATGAGTTCTCAGTAAAAGCCAGAGAGCGTAATTCGTAGCAGCCAAACACTGCCCTGGCAAGAGCTGGCTCAGGCAGAGACAGAAAGGAAAGAAGAAACCGATTCTGGAAATGCTTAAGTTATTTTAACCTAGAAAGTCAGGTGTTCAATCATTCCCACGGTGGACGCAAGGGAGGGGGCAAAGTACTGTGAGCGTCTGTCTGTTGGAGCCTGCTGAGCAGTTTGGATGGAGATGGGGGTTGTGCAAGAAAATAACAAGAGGTGGTTATGTAACGGCAGCCTGGGGCCCGGGTTATACAAAGGGGACAAAGCTAGGCTGAGAAGTGTATGCATATGGGAAAACGTGGGTAAGCAGAGAGCTTTAAAGGCCTGCCGACTCTAGTACAGAGTCCCAGGTCTGGCTTCACAGTTTATAGGCTATGTCTCCTAATAACTCAAAACTATCCCGAAATAACTTTCAGCCACAAAGAAAACAAGGTATATTTGGGCTATGCGGTCTGTCCCCCCCATACCCCCAGTGTCACGTGGCCTTTGAGTGGTTAATATATGGCTAGCTTGGCTGCTGAGCTGAGTTTTTAACTCGTGTCTAATTTTAATTAAAATAGCTGCGTCTGGCTAAGTGGCCACAGTATTAGAGAGCACAGCTCGAAACGCTCAGGACTCCTGTTGCTCTGTGCTTCTAGAGAAAACAATGGCCCTTCCTGAGCCTGTCAGAACACTCGGATGTTAAGGAGTTCAATATAGCAAGTTGCTGTGGCAGAAACCGTTATCAGTATTTTTAAAAGGGTCACGTGACAGGAGCTGTGTCTTGAGGAGATAAGTTAGGCTTTCATATCTAGGTTACAAAAATCTTTTAGTGGAGAAACACTCTCACATGGCTATTTCTAGTAGTGTGCTGGCTACATACCACCTACTATTTAATCCCAGAACTCAGGAGGCAGAGGCAGGCAGGTCTCTATGAGTTCTAGGACACACTGGTCTACATAACAGGTTCCAAGACACACAGGGCGACTGTGGTGGTTTGAATAGGAATGGGACCCGTAGACTCTTGTGTGTGAATGCTTAGCCCATAGAGAGCGTCACTATTAGGAGGTGTGGCCTTGTGGGAGTGGGTGTGGCCTCGTGGGAGTGGGTGTGGCCTTGCGGGAGGAATTTTGTCACTGTGGGGGCAGGCTTTGCGGTTTTATATGCTTAAGCTATGCCCAGTGTGGCACACAGTGACAGTCTCCTACTTGCTGCAGATCAAGATGTAGAACTCTCAGCTCTTTCTCCAGCACCACGTCTGCCTGCATCATCATGTTTCCTGCTATGATGATACTGGACTAAACCTCTGAAACTGAAAGCCAGCTCGTTAAATGTTTTCCTTTATAAGAGCTGCTATGGTCATGGTGTCTCTTCACAGCAATAGAACCCTAGCTAAGACAGCTACATAGAGTCAGTCTCTCTCTCTCTCTCTCTTTCTCTCTCTCTGTGTGTGTGTGTGTGTGTGTGTTTGTGTGTGTGTGTGTGTGTGTGTGTGTGTGTGAGAGAGAGAGAGAGAGAGAGAGAGAGAGAGAGAGAGAGAGAGAGAGAATTTTAAAAGTAATCACTGTAGCAGGCTCGGGGGTAAAGAACTATTACTAGACCCAGCAAGGCCTTTCTACCTGACTCTCTAGGTAGATGTATCTGAGTTGAACCAATGCCATGGATTCTTGAGCAATGACTTGCAGGCAGAAACAGCACAGGGCATTTGTAGGTAAGACTCATAAAAATCTCCTATGTGTCCTGAATTCCCTCCTTTCACTGAGATGACTCCAGAGGCTGTGTTGAAAGGCCCTGTGGTTCAGGAGTAAATGAATGGGG